AATAAGTAATATCTGCTTTTGGGTTGCCATTTTTTGGTAATATTTTAAACTTGCGTGATAATAGTATGAACTTGTGTTACGAATAATTTTAAAAGCATAAATACGATGTATTTGTTACTCGAAAACTGCTATCGATTAAATGTTAGCGATTTTACGCCATTTACGATTTATCATTACTTGCCCGGAAACTTCCATAATCACAGCACACGTACGCTCGCAGTCATCGTCAAAATCGTCTAACCGTGGCAAATTTCTGGCCTTTCCGAGATCATTAACGGGCCGATGATCATCGTATGCACGAAAATGCCTCGGTGATGTGCATCCTCCGTAGGCAGCCACAAACGCTGCTCCTCTGTTCTCCGCTTTTCTAAAATATTATCCCCGATACGGTGCGCGTCGTTAACGCGCAAAATGTTGCACTTGAGAATTATTGCCGCTACGAAACCTTCTTCTGTTCTTTTTTCTTTTTTTCTGCATTTTTATTTTTGCCGAAGTATCCGAACAGCGAGCCGAACGACGCACTCGATCGTCTTTACTTTGTAAAATGTTATTAATCAAAGGGCCTGTATCGTTGTTAAGGGTGGTTGCGCACGAGAAGTCAGGAATTTTCGAAATTACTAGGTACTTTTAGTTTAGCATGAAGACGAAAGCTTCCTCCCTTTTCTCTTTCCTTTTTTCTCTCCTTTTTTTTTGCTAATTTAATCCATGTCGTGCGACGCGAGTTGTGTACCTGCGTACACTACTTGAAGTATCTGGGTCAGCAGCGTGCACGGTAATTGGCAGTAGACTAATTCCCTTACAATTAGTTCGTTGACAGTGTCAAAGAGTGCACGTTGTACAATGACACCTGTGTGTTCAATTTTGTTGTCACGTTAAAGGTTCCTTCCCGTTTTTAGTTCATCTCGTGTCCAATGAATAGCAGACGTGTAAAGAAATTCAGCGATCCGTGGCAATTACGAGAGAAGAAATTTTGAAAATACTAAACGTGCCTTGGGGATCGTCGAAAGCGAGGGAAGTACGCGGTACGTGGTACTTGGATGTGATTTCTAATCGGCGAGCCTGTTATCGTTGCCCGTCCCTCTTCTCGCAGCGGAGAAAGATCGGTATGAAAATTTTGGGAACCGTTACGGAATATTTATACCACGGTTACAGAAACGAGCAGACGGTACTCGAGTACAGTAGTACAAGACCTACCACTCGAATTATCTAGGCCACCGGCTTGTAGAGCAACTGGCAGCAGCGTCGGGCCTCTTACTTCGCTGACAGCGCTGAAGCTCATCCCCGTGTGTATATAAAGGCTAGCTATAACCACTTACAAGCGTCAGCCGAAAAATAAAAGCCACCCACACAGACGGCTTGGTCGTTCCGCGACCATCTCGAACTCACGAGTCTTCTTCGCTGGCATTTTTTCTTTCCTCCGACAGAGTTGAAATCGGGCTACCCGAAGACGGACTCGTTCTTCGGATAGACGCTTATTAATTGGCAAACTCTGCCATCGAATTCACGATCAGCCGCAAATTAGTCCCGAAGAGTGACAGGGGAGGCATCGGTTTACTTTTCGCGATAACCGTAGAAAGGTGAGAGGCACCTTTTCGGTCGTGTCCTCGCGTTTGCTACGAGTGACCACTGACGGATAACGTGTGACCGTTGGAAACGACGATGTACGTGCATTCCCGCTTTGAAAGATCGCGTTCGCACGGTACGGGGTCTCATTCTGTCGTGGATTTCCGACAATTGAATAACCCGCTTCATCCCAGTCGTTCGCATACACTTATCCGTTCTCAATTTAACTTTGTCGCGTATCAAGAGGTTGTTACGAACTGTTGCGACAACTCGAGAGCTAACGAGTGAGAAACAGTGAAACTTCGACCCGAAGCGGCGCGGAAACACGTTTGATACCGTGTCGATAGTTGAAGTGACTGCGATTATGCACCCCGTTGCATTATGCTTTCACGACCCGTGATAATGCCTTCTCGTACGTTCGATATTCGGTATAATAATATTTGCGTAAGAATATTATGTCCGCTGCTGCGCGTGCAGCCCGATCGAATCCGATTAAAAAAAGTCAAGCCTAACTTCCTAACTTAGTTGCGGTTATGTAAATCGCCAGTTAATACAGGCATAATTGCAATTCGTAGTCTCATCACGATTCGGTTGCCATTCGCGTGCACTGTCCAAATCTGTCCCCGTCGAAGCTGCACGCTAATTAAGACCGAAAGGTCGTAGCTAGGTTGATAGTGCGTTATTAACGGTGGTGACGATGCTTCTACCCTTGCATCTTTGAACATTGTTTCCTAGCTTCATCGACAGACGAATCGTAGCCTGGTCGATGCTGTAGTTACTGACTTCCGGAATACGCGTGGAACCGTGTGTGCCTGTTGAAAACCTACAAAAACCCGCACCTCCGTAGTACGGATTCATCGGGATGGCCTACTGGTACACTTTTATGATCCCTTTAACATTGAGCGTTGACCTACTATTCTAGAAGGACGTTCATGTCTGTTGGCCTCGGGGTTCCTTTTCTATCCCCGTTATTTTTTAATATGTGCATGTTTCTCCGCGATGCAACGTGACCATTGCATTCCCCGTAGCGTTGCGATATTAAATGTCATAGAAAATGAAACGAAACATCAACGCTTCGTCGGCAGCGTCGTTACGGTTAGGCGAAAAAGGGAAAATTGACTCGAATGCGAGATGGATGTGCATCGTGGCATTCCCGTTGGTGGTTTGCTAAATGAAAATTGCCGGCGAGCCACGCGTACGTATACCCCATGCAGTGGGTCGTAAGAAAAGATTATAGTCCAGTAGCCTTCGCTTTCTCGGGGTCTGCCCCTTTTGAAGGCCACAAGGACGTACACGAGGGACCCGATAAGAATAATAATGTCGATGAGGTAACCCCGTTGATACGGGCATGACGATTTCTTTGGAAACAAAGACGAGATACCAAAGGTACTGGTATTGCCTCGCAATGACCTGCCTCTGGCTTGCGATAATGCTCGCGCGAAACAATGCGTCATGTCGGCTCGACTAAACGTTTAACGATATTTGGATTACCACTTCTCGCAGTATAATAATTAAAGGTGCCAAGTGAAAGCTTAAATTCTCCGCGTGCACGATTATCGATCGCGCCTGCTTTCCAGCTTTGAAAAAGAGCAATTCGTTTTGTCACGCTCGAGTGATCCGAACAGACTGTTCCAATGTCTTTAGTGATCTTTAGTTTGATCCCTAAAAGTGACGAGTTTAATCGGACCGCGTTCCATCAACGGAACAATTAATAAACATCTATGGAATATTAAGCCGGGTCAGCGGGTCGACAGAAACGGCGGATAAAGAATGAAAAATTGAAAAGACCCGAAAATGATTTCAGACTATTTCACAGCGACAAATTGAAGAGCAAAGCTGAGGAACTTTTATAGTCGCTCGTCTCCATGTTCTCATCTGTCGCGCTGTCGTCATTATTGTCATCGCTCTCGTTCTCGTTCTTCTTTGACGAGGATTTTTAATCAAGAGTTAAGAGAACAAAAGATTAAAAGTGGCTTAAAGCTCCGGTTAAACACGATATCCTCAGAATTTCGTCATTTCATCGATGTTATATCATCGTTCGACTGTCGTGCTGCAATTATTGCACCACTGTTAAATTGCTTTTTTAGTCGTCGATAAAGTAATACGGGAAAATTGATTCTCATCGAACGCAGCAAAGAGAAACGTGAAGACGTTTCTTCAATTTCTGCAACGCGAATAATGAGTCTAATTAAAGGGGCTTTTCTCGCGTGCTCTCTGCAGCAATTCATTTAATTCGGATGCTGAGAATTAAATAGACCGTTGTCAGTTTAGTGCTCTCGCTTTGAGAACTTGACCTCTTCTTTTCAACTTTCTTTACAAACTTCCGTCAACTTATTATCCGAATAAAATAGCGAAACACAGAAATAAAAGGAAACATCTCTCGCGTCGTTAGAGTGTCATGGACATAGTCATTTTTCCTTGCGAGGAAATCATCGAGTCGAAGGAAAATACGAATAGATCCATCGTTTTATAATACCCAAATCATCCGTACGCCTACTTCGTGTTTCAATCGCAATAATAAAATTGCACACCTTATTTCGCGAAACTTCCTTGCAAAATTCTCAACGATATTTCTTCGTTGACTCGTGATTGTACGGACGGAATATCACGATAGAATAAAGTTTAGCCGTAAATCGAGCAGAGCTATCGATAAAAGACGAGTTCGACGTATTCGGAGAATTTCGATTAAAAATTTGCACGTTCGCGTGTTTTCCTGAAGCTGTTACTATGCGTCCGAGTTCGACCGTTACTCTCTATTAGAAGACACAACCACCCTGGCCGGGTATGTCGAACTTGGGGATGTTGCGTGTTCGTGGTATGAAGTTCGTACGCAAAAGGAATGAATTTCGAGCTTAAGAAGCAGTCGGAAAATTCTCTGGCTAGACGCCAGGGATCTCCTGCCACTGGCATGCACAGTTCGCCAGTTTAACAAACTACCACCCGTCTGGAGTCACCCTCCCTGCTCGTCCTCGCAAATCCATAGTCGCGAAACGTTTTTCCAGCCATGTTAAAAGAAAGTTGTCGCGTGCTCGGGAAAAAATCGTATCTCCCTTGTAAGCAAGTCCAACGACTTTTAGTTTCTTTCCTAACATCTCGGATATATGAGCGTTCCTACGCAGAGTTAAGGGTAGTTTTTCATTTTCCATTCGAACAATCGTTATCGCGTCGGGTATTCTAGAAAAGTTAGGGGAAGATCGTTTACTATGAGAATTTCTTCCATTCGCAGATTAGCTCGACGACCTTAAACGCGTTTAAATTGCAAGATTAACCGGCAGTAGCGATTAGCGGTAAAGATTTAACCTTGCTCCATTCCTGAAGGTACATTAATTCTGCCGTGTTCGTCCGAGTACACAGACAGTACTTCTGGATAGAGCGTATTTTTAGTGCACTTTTCACTCGGACGATATTTCTATCGGTGTAAATTTTCGTGTGTCAAGGATCAGGAAGACGAAAATCAGGACGCGGTGGAGTAGTATTCCGAGTGTTTAACTGCAACGTGCAACTGATTGTCTGATCAACGAAGAATCTGTTGGTGAAAAACAAAGGTATTACCTTCGAATCTGCACACACGCGTACGTCATCGCCCCGAACTGAGACTTTATCTTACGGCAAATGCTACAGCCACGTGAATAAACTCATGGTACGAGCTTAAGGCACGGTAAATATGTGTACAGGTACAACCAATACTGTCAATAATCGAGTGTACCAGCTTCGTAGAACGTAATCCGATTACTCTGTAGCTTATACGGTCGACACTTGTGTCTTACATACGATTTTGTGTTACATTTCTCTTATTGACATAGCAAATGACCAGTAACATCCTCGGTTGCGGAGGTGTCCGGAGGTCTGTGCAAGTTTGACGCGAGGTAAACCAGCGGTGGAGTTAATCAAATTTCAATTTCCATCCGCCATCAGGTCAGCACGAGAGGTCGTTCGTCGATTTCGTCGAATTAATAGGCTGCGTGACGTAGGAGCCTGATAGAGGAGATCGGTATAATAGTAATCTGAACGGCGCAACACGAAGGTTAGTAGCGCGTCGTTTATCCGGGTCTATCATAGTTCGCCCTCGATTTCGAGAACGCGCACGAGCTCGTCTCTTGGCGTACCTACGCTTGCGATCTTTCGGATAAGGTCGCATTTGCGTTTCAGATCTTCGCATCGGTTACGCGCCTATTTACGCGCCTATTTACGCGCATTCTTTGCGTTTCCTCTTCACGCCTACGTCTGGCGTCGGTGTCGGTGTCGGTGTCGGTGTCGCAAACGTCACGGGATTATTAAATGAAATTGCAAAGTCCGTGATCAGCGAGAAAAAGAATCCGACATAGTCCGAAGACACGGAGACTTAGGCGAAAGTACTATTTCTACCCTTGCGCATTCGCGTTCGCGCACCCCTTCCTGGTACCACTCGAATGAGTTTACTCACGTTCGGCTACCTGTTGCCTTCTTTTCTTTCTTTTCACCGGTCCTCCGATAATATTTACGCATTTGCACGTCAGACGGCACTCTCTCAACGGTATACCTACACCGAAGAGGGACGCATTCACGCACGCGTCTTTCAATTGGCCCCGTTGGCACTCTCGTTTCGCACCCTCCGTGCTTACGTGATACCGCACTTAAATCGAGATTAAAAGCCGGCGCGTACAAAGACCGACCTCCACGTGAACACCCGCAAACTCCTTCCGGATTCTGTAAATACTGCACAGCACCGTAAGCTGCATTTTCACGAGAGACGATACAGCCGACACGACGGGTGAAAGTGTCGGGTCGGGAAGGAAAAATCTGCCATTCGAATTAAATAACCGAACGTGAGTAGCGTTGCGAAAATCTAAATGAAAAAGTAATCGTCTGAACGACTATTGTACTGTTTCAGTGACGTTGAGGCAAAGTGGAGGTTGAGATTAAAGATAATAGCGTGGTTAACAGGTGGAAAAGGGTTGAAATTCGCGAAATACCACCACGCGTCACGCAGGGGTGGTGGGTCTATGGGGGGCTCCGCCCCAGCGGCCCCCCGGCTCCAGTCCAAACGGAAACTGCCGGAACGGCGCTATCCTGGCAAGGTCCAAGACCGCACCGCTTCCGGTACCACCGTCAAAACGGATGAAGAGCCCCTCCAACATCATGAGGCAGTCTAGCCTCACCAAGCTTGGTTCCATGATCAATACCGCCGTGAACAAGAGAGTCGGTGAGTTTTATTTTTCCTTCTTTTTTTCGCCCTCTACTCTCTTCCTCCCTTTCTCTCCCTCTTCTTTATTACGCTTTATTAATCCCCCGAATCTCAAAATGCTTGACGGTTATGAGACGGGTTATTTTTCCTCCAACAATCCAACGGACAGGACACTATGGAAAAACCTATCTCCACGAGGAGTAAATTTTTACTTGCCACGACATGTCGGCAAGATTTTCGTACTTGTTTAAGCATCTGCGAATAGACATTCGTCTCTCGGATGCATTTTAAATGTTTTATAATCGCGAATAAATGGTCTAGTAGCACCTAAACTTTGTTACCTATCCTACCGAGAGATAGAACGGGTTGCCATTACTGCCGAGCTGCGTTTCGATACATTCTAAGAGTACGGTGGAAAAGAGATGATATACGGCCGTGTAAATTATTTGCGATCATACGATCGAACTATGGGATACGAAATTTACAAGAGACATTGGAAACTTCGCAACAAATGTCTTCGTAACAAGTGCGAACGTTATTCGGGTTCCACCGCCGACAATCGTTAGTCGCACACAGTTACATCGATATGAACCGATCCGAGCATCGTTTACATTTAGCGGTCAGTTGGTAAACTCGTCGGGACCCGATGTCACCTAGCAATAACAGTATGTCGCGGCAATCGTAGCCAACATCGAACAAGAAAACGGTTTTGCAAGGGACATCGTCGAGAATGAATTCGCGTAGTCGTACCAGGACCAAACGGTTTAGCATCGCTTTAAACAAGATCAATGTTCAAGAAACAATGACGAACGGCGAGACCATAAACTGTAACGATCACGGGTATTATGTGCGTGAGTAGACAAAAAAATTTGTAACCAGTACAGTTACGGTTTTCGAAACCCGCACGTTGAACCGGCTGTTAGTGCAACGCTCTGTTTCGGAGAAATAAAAAGAGTGCATGAAACTTCGACGATGTTGGCCACACAAACGGTTCGATCGATTTTCCATGGATGTGGAAAAAATTCGAAGCATCTGAGTTTAAAGGCGAACTCGCTGTAGGAGGTCTGCGACCAGCATCTACATCGTACACGAGCGAATCTTTAACGCATTCGAGCGTGAGCTTATCGCACAATAGAAGCTTATGAATTTCGGGAAAAATTTACAATGCCAAACGTTAAAAGTATCGGAGAACCTTTGGCCCGCAGGAACACGCGATGTCTCCTTTTTCGTCGGTCTGTGCTTTTTCGAAAACACTTGCACTTGTTCCACGGTAAATATCGTGTTCATGTAAACGTTGCACCAACTCTACATGCTTGTTAGAGCTCGTTACAACCTTATTAACATCCTCCCTCTAACACGTTCGACAACGAGAGTTTCGTGTGTCGTACGAGCTCATGCACTTTCGTACCAGTTCGAGACAGTTATTTCATTCGTGTACGTTCGTGTCGTAGAAAAACACCGTTCTTCGTTTGTTAGTTTAATCTATTCGAGCCTTGGTGAATTGCTCCAACCGATGAATAATATGAAAATCGATCATTTATTGACACAGCGAAGGACAGACTGATTCTTCTAGCCGATACGTCTATCATCGTTAATAGCAATTGAATTTTTAAACCAAAATTGTGTAACTTCTCGTATTGAAAATATATCGCGATATGAATTTAAATTCTACATTTTAAAGTAACAGATTCGAAGTAACGTCCAAAGTTTCCTCTTGTTTGTCTGCACGACCATAATCTCAACTTTGAATTACAAATTTTCGAGCAAAGTAGAAAACGTATAATACTTTACGCGGACTTGTAAATTTGCAACATGGCGGACAAACCAACATCGTTGTGCCAGTAATGAATCATTGTCCAATATAATTTATATTCTTCTGACGAAGTCCTAATTAATTACAAATTAACAAATAAGAAGGCAACGCTTAATTTTGACCCAATTTAATGTTTTCATCGATGTTTGGTAATCTACTGTGTCGGCAAAGTGTATTAATATTCTATACAAATCGAAAGTTTAGAGCGTCTTTAGAATACGTATATCGACGTAGATCTCTCAAAGTAAACTGCAATCGATTCTCCACTTTTGGATGCATCCAAAATGTATTACGTATTTTAGAACTGAAAGCATATGACCTGTATGCTCAGAGTTCGTTGAGTTTCTATCATTGGAGCTGGAATATAGCATGGGAAATCTTTATGTATCAAAAGCTACTCTGATTTTGCTAAAAATGGATCGGTTCATGGCAGACTTTTGCACAACCAAGAATTTTGCTCATTTCTCTCGAAACGTTCCTATGTTGTCCTCTTTAGAAGAATTACACGAGATGTTGTAAAAACTTTTAGGTAATCTCTTTTATAATGCGACTGTTTAATAGTTTAACTCGAATCAGATAATCTTCATTGTTATATTCTTATATCTATATATAATACTGTTAAAAGACACTTTATTTGCAAATTGAATTCAATTTTGAATCAATTACTGAAGGAAACGTAATGGTAGAGGATTTTTTAAAATCTAATTTGAATTTTGCGCGGCATAGATGGCGCTGTTTAGTCGGTCACGTTCGGTAATTTTCGTTATACTTCGTGTGCAATCGGTTTTCGCAATCAAGATGGCGATTACCGTCGAAGTAGCGAAACCTGCCTGTGGTGTGACGTCACGCCATAGTAGTGTTGTGCGGTTATGCGTTCGTGAATTCCGCCATTGAAAGTTGGTGATCGCGTTCATAGTAGTGGCGGACTAGATAGACGAATATGTGACAGGATAAAAGTTAGCGCTAAGTGTGGTAAACAATCGTGAAGGTCTCCTGATTCCTGGTCGCCGGCGTGGCGCGCCGCGCGCGCGTATCTCTGATCGAGTAGACGGTATTGGACCTCGCACCGGGAGTAAGCTCGTGTGCGAAGCTCTCTGGTCGCGTAGTGTCTCGTATGCGAGATGGCCGGTAAGTAAGCGTCGTGAGTAACGGTTTACTTTGCGTGGTCGCCGTGTATTTCTACCACACGTCGTGAACCGAACAGTGCGTCGCTCCTGCTGGCCGCCTCGCCGCGCCGCGGCAACCTGAACCTTGACCCAGATACTATCACGGGTTCACGGGTATATCCGCAGCGCTCGCAGTGCACGCAACGTTCTTCTTCGTCAATTCCGCATCCTCAAATATAATCACCCGTACCCACTCTCTGGATTCTTGCCGTGCGCGGGGCCAAATGCGCCCGTCGCCGGCGACGGCAGCGGCGGCGGCGGTGGCGACGGCCTAGAAGCACGATGGATTGCGCCGAAACTTCAAGTAGGATTACTTTTACCTTTATTCCCCGACATTTCTTTCGTTTTCTTTTGCTTTTTCCTTGTTCTCTTAGTCTACGTGTATTCTTTCATTCGTCTGTTCTTTTTCAAGTATCTTTTCCCTTTTCTTGAGACTATCGTTTCACGTCTCTCCACGTTTATTTTATCACGTTCCACACTCGACTCTCTATATTTTTTACATTTCTTCCAATTTCTTTATCCTTGTTATCCTCATCGATTTATACCACATTTATTATTTTCATTTGATCGTGCGTATTTTCTGCGTACCATAAATTGGAAAAAATCGCGTACGTTTGCGAAATAAATTTTTACGCGTCTTTTTAGCACTGTGCATCTACCTGTTTCATACTCGAGATGCATGATGTAATTGAAATAATAACCAATATAAGGTCTCGATTTGTTTTATAATACGACATTTCATACGGACACGTTACAAGTCCAATAGTAAATATGAAATGTGATTGTATTGTATTGATAATTAAAGCTTTCCATTGTGCACTTCATAATTTTATTATATCTATGCCTCAATTCACCATAATTCCAAGTGAATCTTCTGATATTTAACTCAACCTCTTTATGGATGTTTTAGGCAATGGTGACATACAGTGGTGTTTCTCACAGGTGAAAGGAACGTTAGAAGACGATGTCACTGAAGGTAAGTTTTATATAGAAATTACACATATTCTCTGCGATATATTATCTCATCAATTTGCATTTGATTATTGCACAAATATGATAATTTTAAAATAAAGTATTATAATGTATTCCAATTTCCTCGTTTTTATTTCTTTTCTTCCAAAGTTATTTCTGAACGTGTATCGTTTTTATATGTTTTGGAGTACACTTATAGTTATTCATATTGTGTTTTGTTCTAGCTGATATAATCTCATGTGTTGAATTTAACCATGATGGTGATCTCCTTGCAACAGGAGATAAAGGTGGTCGGGTTGTTATTTTTCAGAGAGACCCTGTTGTAAGTTAAAATACATTTATAATATTATCAAGTTTTTATATTAGTAGCATTTTTATATGCTGAAATATGTTAATCTTTATACTTTCAATAAAGAGAAACTTATCCTTTAAATAAAAATTATATTTATGTGTTAGTATTGGATTATTGCCAGATATTTTCTATTTTTAGAAAATTTCTAAAGATAATCATTGAACACAATGAAAATAAATTATAAAATAATTAAAATATACAATATTTATGTAGAGTAAAAACAGTATACCTCGGAGAGGTGAATACAATGTGTACAGCACCTTTCAAAGTCATGAACCTGAATTTGATTACCTGAAATCACTAGAGATAGAAGAAAAAATTAACAAAATTAGGTGGTTAAAAAGAAAAAATCCTGCACATTTTTTACTTTCCACAAATGATAAAACAATTAAGTTGTGGAAAGTCAGTGAACGAGATAAAAGAGTAGAAGGATATAATACAAAGGAAGAAAATGGTACAATTCGTGATCCTGCTTGTATCACTTCCTTGAGGGTAAGTATTACATATACTTTATAATGCATTTAATTGTTGAGATTCTAATGATATAATATAGAATAAATTCATCTAAATTCTACACTTTTTGTTCTAAGTTCCTACACGTGTATATATGTAATCTTCTTTATGCTATTGTGTTTCCAACAAAAATATTTCCAATAGAAACATGGTCAGGAAGTTCAAATATGCACATAACATCATGAGACTTCACTATTGCGGTTATCATACATTGAATACTCATTTTATTGACTTAGGTACCAACTATAAAGCCAATGGAGTTGATGGTAGAAGCATCCCCAAGGAGAATATTTGCCAATGCGCACACCTATCATATAAACAGTATAAGTGTCAATAGTGATCAGGAGACATACCTCAGTGCTGATGATCTTAGAATTAATCTTTGGCACCTTGAGATCACAGATCAGAGTTTTAGTATCCTTTTTCTATCTTATATTATTTTAATATTAATTATAATTAATAATTTTAATATTAATTATATTATGTTATTTTATATTTGCTCTACTTTTGTTTTCTAAATTTTATTTTACACTTATAATTTTTTATAAATAGCTTATAATAAATGTGATTGTTTTCCTAAACATGATATACAGATATAGTAGACATTAAGCCAACTAATATGGAAGAACTAACAGAAGTAATAACTGCTGCGGAATTTCACCCAGCAGAATGTAATGTCCTGGTATATAGTAGTAGCAAAGGAACAATTAGACTCTGTGACATGAGATCAGCTGCGCTTTGCGACCAACATAGTAAGCTCTTTGAGGAACCAGAAGATCCCACAAATAGAAGTTTCTTCTCCGAAATAATTTCAAGTATAAGTGATGTAAAACTTAGTAATTCGGGAAGATACATGATCAGTAGAGACTACCTCAGTGTGAAAGTGTGGGATTTGCAAATGGAAACAAAACCCATTGAATGTTACACTGTATGTGATAATAAAATTATAATATAATTTTCGTACATTTCACAAAATATATTTACCAGTTACGTTATTACAGGTACATGAATACCTAAGATCAAAGTTATGTTCATTGTATGAGAATGATTGTATCTTTGATAAATTCGAGTGTTGTTGGAGTGGTAATGATTCCGCTATTATGACCGGTTCATACAATAATTTCTTCAGAGTATTCGATCGTACAACTAAACGTGATCTCACATTGGAGGCAGCACGCGACATTGCCAAACCAAAAACACTTTTAAAACCTCGTAAGGTAAATATAAATTTTCAAACACAAAGACATTTATCAAATTACTATTGCATGTTCATATCTTTTCAATATAAATCCTTTATTCAAAGGTGTGTACTGGTGGTAAACGTAAAAAGGATGAAATTAGCGTTGACTGCCTTGATTTCAATAAAAAGATATTACATACTGCTTGGCATCCATCTGAGAATGTGGTAGCTGTTGCTGCTACGAATAATCTCTTCCTATTTCAAGATAAACTCTAGCACATCTGTATGCAAGTACGTTTATTTAGTATTGAATTATGTTATGAATTCAATTATAAGTATAAGCAAAAAAATGCATCTTATTCAAAATGGTTAAAAATATTGTTCTTCATCTTTTTAGATCATTCAGCGGTATATATTGACGTGAGCAAGGCACGTTCAACTGAAAAGTCCCAGTGGAACAAGGGGTGTCTGAATTACACTGACGAATGTCGACTATTAATATGTTAATGGTTGACTGACCGAAAAGTGGTGTACGTAGCGCCGTCCACACAGCTCACATATTCATACACACTATGTATACACAGAGACATACAGAATTGCACGTAACACCTTGTCGCGCGTATATATGTGTATAAATGCATGCAAGCAAAGACATATGCATAGTTCTCCAAACTACTGAATTCCGCTAGTTGAAATAAAATGCACGTGGAATCATTACCCATTGATTAAAAGAAAAGGAAATGTACAGTTCAATCAATCAACAGACTCGTGTTGGCGGTTATTATTTAACTATTTTAATAGAAGATTAATATGTTCCGTTTGCTTGTATCATAGAAATTTTGATACCGTACAATTTAAAGTGCTTTTTAATATAGGTGATTTTTCTACATATATGGAATGATATTTGTAATAGAAGTGCATCAGTAGGACCAACTGCATATAATTAAGTCACCAAACGCGGTAGAATGTATCTTGGGTACATGTGCGTTGTGCATAGAATATCATTGCTTAATAAATTATTTGCCAAGCAAAATGCCTAGATGTGCAAAATTAAAATTAGGGATGATTATATGTGCCAATGAGATTAATCTATAGCTCATTACTATTTTAATTTCAATTCAGTATTGTTTCCTTTGTAAGTTCCGATATGATACCATTTTTGTTTTCGACAGATATTTGATTCAAAATTAAACTTTTTCATACGAATACAGTATCCTCTATTTATCAAATTCGTTGCTGATTTTAGAATAAACATATTTTCATAATTATTAATAGTTGCATTTAAAGTATAATATTAGCAGCTATACATGTGGAGAAAGCCAAACTTTTGATGATTTGAATTAGTCATTTACTATCATCACTTAGTAAAAGATAATATTAAACAGTAGGCCTATATTCCCGCGTCTTTGTTTCCTAAATACAATGTTATTAAATACACTTGCTATGGCATGTTAGTTAAAAACAAATATTCGCCGATACGAGTCAAGGTATGAGAAGATAAGGCAAATTCATCTTCTAGTAAAAGTTCGAAGAAAGGTTAATGTTAATGCATTGCATACATTGAACGGTAAAAAAATATGGGTGTAAAGCACCATTCGTCAGTTGCTGCTTTCTAATAGAAAAAGAATTCAGTCAAGAAATATAAGGAACTTGTGGTAACTATAAGTGAAATACAGATTTTCTAATATTTCTTATTGACAACTTATTAACACTTATATACTTACACTTATAAGCAGCGATTTCGTACACGAATAAAAGTAAAACTAAAATTAAAAAGTGCATTTGACGATGGTAAGCTGCGCTTGCAGAGTTTATGTAAATTAAATATGTGCTGAATAACATGTATATTAGCGGAATATAACGTCAACATTGGTAAAATCTATAATGATGAAATTTGAACATAATAATAAGTGATTGAAACATATGCGCGGATTTTGGATTGCGATCAAGGTGAATAAAATTGAAACTTTTTTATTAATAAAAACCAATAGAGAAAGTTGTCCTTAGTGACAAATACCTTACATCAGTGACTTAAATTGTACATGATCGAGAATTAGAAGTAATAATTTTCACGTGTACAAATAAGAATTCTTGAGTCATAGGCAAATAAACGACTTTCGAGGTTTCCTAACACTATACAAGCAATCATATAGTTTTAAAAAGAAAAATATATGATTGCTGTGCTAAAACCGGAGACTCGCTTTAATCTGCGAATCGTCCTTAACTTCTAATTAGTTCTCTGAAAGATCTGCTATATGGCCAAAAATAGATACACGTGATATAAAAAGCTATTTTAAATTATGCGCTTTGAATGGTTTCAACTAATCACATTCTTATTCAAATGATGTAATATTTAAGCATTAAGTTTTAGGTACTGGAAATTATTAATTAGGTATTTTATGCGTTGGATTTTAATGTCCAATTTAATTTAAAAAAAAATATATATATGTATTACATATTATTACGTTTCTTGCATAATACGACTTTTATTAAAGGGCGGGGGAAAAAGGAAAAAGACAAAAATATTGATATGGTATCGCTTAAGGAATTTAATTATGTTATTTGCATATTAACGCAAAAGCAATAACGGGAGAAAGAAATCTCCTTTTGTAATCATGTACAACGCAATGCATGAAACGTAATAACTAACGTAATAAAAGTATCAAGCCAGGATTATTACTCAGTATCTTTGTAACGCGATATTTAGGCAATTGTGTACTCACGAAGGAAGGAGGTGAAAAGACGCACGAATAAAAAAATGCAAAATCATAATCAATAAGCTGTAATCATAATTTGTTTTTAAAAAGATACACGCGATGGAATCGTGAAATTCGTTCTATATTCGAACAAAACGTAGACTTATTTTTACAATTAAGTAATATTAATATTATTACTGCTATTAATATTATTATTATTATTATCATTATTATTATATTCTTTAATTTATAGCACCAAAAGTGAAGAATACAACTTGCCCAAATCCAGGGG